TTGCTGACCACGCGTCGCACGGAATTGGCACGATCGTGAGATATGGGTCTTCAGACTCAAGTTCCCTCATTGTCTCTGCCTGCGCACTGGGTAGTAGTAGATCATCGCCCGTAATAGGTAGATCCTTGTATTTTTCGGTTATCATACCAATTTCTGTCGCCAGACGAGTAACAGTACACTGGCCGCCGTAAATCTCCTTGACCACTGCCCCAGGAATATGCAGACGATGCCGATCAACACGTAGAACACTCCACGTAGCTTTCATTTCCCGTGCATGGTCGGCTATCCACGTATCCACTTGTTTCTTCTGGGACTTCGTCATGGTGCCGATATCTGCCTGCGTGATCTTGCTGCTCTCCGTCTGGTTTGATTCGTCTTCTTCTGCTGCCCAGACGTCCAGCGTTTTCGTACTGATACTAAGCGCTTCCCGATGTGTCGGTGTCTTTGGGAAGTCCGTGATATAGACCGTCAAGTGGTTCTTCTTGGAACGTGTGATCTTCACTGGCGTGTCCGAAATCGCTCTGAAGATCACCTGATTGTGTTTCACACTAATGAGCGTGTCCAGGGCGTCCATCTGATCAACACCCATGAGCATCGGCGCGTCAGAGTTCGGCAGCCTCTCGAAGTTGAGCGTGCAATCTCGCCCTCGAATGCCACTCGGTACTGCCTGAATGCTTTCCGCCCTGACCAGGGCAGATGTGTTGATGCCTTTGAAGATAGTCCTGCTGGGCATCTGTAGGTCTGCTAGCTCGAACTCCTCGAGGTGACTGTCGATAGCTCTGTCGCCGCCGGCCGCAGCCAGAGCCGCAGTGTCCAGGACCACGTAGCCTGGGGGTACCACCTGCTCTGCCACCATCGTGTCGACTAACTCCTCGTTGATGTCAGTGATCGTCTTGATCGGATCATCGGGCTGGTTCGTAATAGGCATTATCATATCGCATTTCTGCTGATGTCCAGCTCCCGATGCTAGCATGGCCGCTGCCAGACCAGTACGTGCCAGAAATCTTCCAGCTCGTCCTCGTCCATCTCCTCGCCCTGATGCTTTCGGCTTCTGACTGGCTGCCTTCCTCGTCTTGCTGCACTCTTGGTCGCCAGCCCAGTGTCCTACTTCGTGGCATGCACTGCCGAGCTTGTCTTGAGGCTCCTAGGTGCCATACCTGATCTCGCCATCGAAGTCGACGTAGGTCTTGCCCTGTCGAAAACCCCGGTTCGTCTTGCCATATTTGATGATGCCGGCTGTAGTTCGATGAGCTCGAACCTCCTTTGACACGTCCGCGTCCTTTTGCCGCAACTGCTCCGACGACCTTTTCCGCCTCTGCCGCAAACGTCGGTATTTCTTTTTTTCCGATAAGTCTGCGACGTCCACTACTGCGAAAGCCGTCTCGAGCTCTTCCACGTCCGCCGACAAACTCGACATCTCGTTGTCTTCATCCTCGTAGTCTTCTTCTCCGTGATCCTCCTCGGCTTCGTCATCGTCGATCTCTTCCTCAGGATCCGCGCCGAAGGCTGCATTCCATCTCAACCGTCGTCCTCCGCCATCACGCCTGTGATCTCGGCTACCTCGAGCGTCGATGCTGTCGAGCAGCTGAATCTCGAGGATGTCGCATATCGCATCCCAACCATATTCATTCTGAGCCTGGCCTAGGAACGTCTTGTGCTGAACCTACGTAATACCACGCACCTCTAGTGGGAAACACGTTCTGATATCCTCCGACACCTGCGTTTGTCCGTTCGCGATGTCTCTCAGCTTCTCGTATGCGTCCGTCCGCCGTTGTATAAAGTCCTTTATCGGCTCTCCTGGCTTCCTGTGTCCGCGTCTGAAATAGTGTAGAAACGCCTTGTGCTTCTGCAGCGGGGCCATTTTCTCCACGCGTGAGCGAACGCATTGATGAGTATGCCAAGTGCCTGCCCGACAGCCGCTTCTTTCTCCGTCGGAGTGTTTCCTTCTGCAAACTGCTCGGCTAGGGCCTTGTCGCTGATCTTCTCGTCTTTGTGGCGCAACGTCCACGCTCTCCCGCTGAGTCCATTCTTGACCTTGGCGATGAAACCTTTCTTCTTCTCGGTGCTCTCCATGCCCGAAAATCCGAGCCGCGCTCTCTCACCCCACTTTTCTGCTGCTGCCGCGTCTCCATCAAAACAAAGAATGCCATCTATATCCACCCGCGCGTGTGACCGTGGATTTCGATCGTTAGTCATCGTGAAATCTGAATTGCGCCCTATAAAGTCTGACCCGCTCTGGAGGAAACCGAAACTGCTCTTTAGTAAGTCTGAACTGCTCTCGAGGAAGTTTGAACTGCTCTCGAGGAAGTCTGAGCAGCTTTCGTGGGAATCGTCGTGCTGCGTATACTCGAAATCACGCGCACGATCGCAAGATACACTCTCGCCCCAACAATAGTACTTGCATGTCCGCAAAGACCATGTCTTGCCTACACTAATGAAAAAGACGAACCAACTCAGCATAAGCCGTCCTTCGTTGACTGCTCCGCTACCAGTGTCAAGGATGTTGGATATTGGCCAGTCTTTTTTCTCCTTCCGCACGTAGTCTTCGCGAAATCGAGCAATATGAAAGCGGTCGTCTGCACGACCAATCAAGCGCAGCAAATAGAAATCAGGGAAACCCTAGTCAGTGACTGGAGCACATTTGATAACTCGTTATCGTTGATAGCTCAAAAGGGGTATCCCCTGATGTTATTGAGAGAAATGGCCACAGCATCTATCATGCTGTCTCTTCTCTCCAACTGCTTATCTACTGCGTTTCTAGCTGCGCAGATACGGACAAACCACACCCATCTTCACACAAGAGGGGCCCCAAGAGGTGGCCAGGAGGCTCCCCAAGAGGCCCCCAGGATGCTCCCAAGAGGCTCCCAAGAGACCCCCAAGAGGCTCCAAGAGGCCCCCCAGAGGCACCCAATGCGTTTTAAGATGCTTCGGCGAGAATGCCCATATCATTAAATGGCCAAAGAGCTCCTCCAGGAGGTCCCGAAGAGGCCAACATTCTGCCTAAACCTATGGAAAATCAATGATTTTGGCTTTCTCGCCTTTTCGCTTCCGATGGCCATGCGAGGCCTCAAGATGGCTCCACGATGGCCCAAGAGGGCTCCAAGAGAGGCTCAAGAGAGCCCAAAGATGGCCCCAAGAGCCCCCAAGAGCGCTCCAAGAGCGCCCCAAAAGCGCCCCAACCGGCGAGTCTTTGGGCTCCCGAGGGGCAGCGCTAATTAATGCTCCCCTCTTGTTTGATCGATGTCCTCCAAGATGGCCCCAAGAGCGCTCCCAAGGCTCCCAAGAACGCTTCAAAAGAGGGCCCCAAGAGGCGGTCAGGACATCCCAGGAGGCCCCAACAGGCGCCCAAGTGGCCTCCAAGAGGCTCCCAAGAGACCCCCAAGAAGCCCCAAGAAGCTCTCTGAGGCACCCAAGACGCTCTAAGAGGCGTCCGGGACCGCCAAGAGGCCCCCAAGACGCTCCAAGAGGCCCCTTGGGGGACCCTTCCTCTGCGTGCTGCCCACTTCCCTGATCGAGGCAATTCCTCTGGGCATCGTTTCTGGATGGGCTGGTGATTTTGTTTTCCCGTCGCTGCCACAGGCGAAACCGCCTGCAGCAGGTAGAGTCGGCTCGGGCTACGAGCGAACCTAATTGCCGGCGCGCGCGGAGCTAAGCAGGACCTACTGCCCGGGGAAGCAGCTGCGCCGGGGCTGTGCTGCAACCGCCGAGGCTGGGAACCAGCGCCGAGGGTGGGGACTGCAAGTTGCTGCAAGGAAGTTGCAAACGTGCGGGTACCATGGGAGCAGAATCGCCAGGTAAGTGAATGGACCTTGTCGCCACGCGGCGCCAGAGGTCTGGGCTGAGACCAACAGGGTACACGCCAGGTCGACCAAGAAGGCTGAACCACTCCTGAGTGAACCGGCGGACCAGAAACCCAGAGGGCCAGCGGACAGAGAACCAGAAGCCAGGGAAGTGCAAGCACTCGCGCCGGAACTGGTCAGAACGCCCGTCACCTGAACGCCAGCAGGGTGCCTCACCCGACTCCGCGGAACCAGAATGAGGGCCGAAGGCGCGAAAGACAGAGCGGGGTCGCACCCACCGAGGGCGGAGGTAACCTGAGCCAAGCCTGCGACGAAGGGGAGCCAGACACAGCCAGCTGGTGAGGTTACGCGAAGCGTCTAGAATTCGGGCCGTCCTCGAGCAATGTGGGCGCATTCTGTTTCCGGACAAGAATATCAACACATTTGATTTTTCATCGTCATCTTTCGTCGTCGTCCATCCATCGCCGTGATTTTGGGGTACGGCGTTTGGTTTTACCTCTCCGCTTCGCTGGGAAGCAGCGTTGGGCTGGATCTGTACTGTACTGTCTTGTATTGTGCCAGCCGCGCGCGCGCGCTGGCAGGCCTTGCTCTCCGTCCCCTCTCCCCCCTCCCTCTCCCTGCTCCCCCCTTCCCCTGCTCCAACACGTTTTCTGCTTGTGTCTAGAGGTCCTTGCTGAACCCTCTTGTTTTTGGGGGGCAGTGCTTCCAAGCTCCCGTGGGGCCCTCGAGTGAGAGCTGCCGCAGATCGCGTTGATTTCTTCTCGCACGAGGTTCCTCACAGAAGTCTCGCTGGTCGTTCTCGGAGGGCCAGCGTGCTGAGCGCGTGTGTCGCCCGCCCTCGGGCCGCCCTCCCGGGCGTTGATAGATGTTCTGCCATGTTCCGCTATGAGTCGACGGCCGATCTCGAGGTCTCCAGAGGTCTCGGAGGAGACCTCCAACATGCTCAGGCAGGGCCAAGAGCGTCTGAGCCCCTCTGGATGCTCCCTTTCTTAGGGAGCTGTGCTTTCGGGGGAAAGGGGCTTCCTTGAGGGGTTGGCTGCAGCATCTTTGAGTCGATCCTGTGCTTTCTGGGCGCAGGCTCCACCGCAGGACTTTCGTGGAGTCAGCTTGGTTCGACCTTGCCTCCTCCTACGACCCACCCCGACCAGCTCGGCGCGGGAGGAGGGCCCCCCCTGGCCAGAGACGCCGTCGCCCTCGGAGGCCGAAGGAGTACCGGCTCCTGAAGAGCCGCGAGAAGCGCGTCAACCGTGCCTACGGCGGCTCCCGCTGCGCCTCCTGCGTGCGCGGCCGGGTCATGCGGGCGTTCCTGATCGAGGAGCCGAGCGGCAACGGCGGCGGCGGTCGACGGCGGCGAGGAGGAGGAGGAGGAGGAGGAGACGGACGTCTCAGCCTCCCAAACGGTTGGCCCAAACGGGGTCGAAGCAGATGGGGCAGGAGGATCGCGCCGCATGGCCGATGCGTCGGCGATGCGACCTGATGTGGAGCCCAACTTTCTCCACGCCGACGGCGCCGCTGCAGCGCCGACGCAGCGCGTTCCTCCGACCCCATCCATTCGGACCGCATCTGGAAGTCCTCTAGGAGGGCGGCGGCGGCAGCGGCGACGGCAACGGACGATGGCGGCGATGGCGGCGACGGACGATGGCCTCAGACCTCTGGCGCATCGACTTCTTTGACTCCGCGGGCCCCGGAGCTTTCTGCTGGGGATCTGGGGCGGCGGCTGCGGCGACGACGGCGGCTGTCCAGACGGTCCGATCCTCGACTCTCGGGGTCTGGCCTTGAACCTCGAGGTCTCAGACCGTCTGAGAGCTCGAGGTTCGAGGGTCGTGGCCCGAAACCTGAGGACAAGAGGTTCGAGGAACGTGGCCTCTCGGGCCGCCCTCGCCGCCACGGCTGGACTCGCCCCGAACCTCTGGCGGGAACGCGCCTCGGGCCAGCTCGGGGTGGGCTCGGGTTTGCCAGCTCTCGGCCTCTGGAGCCCCGTGTCGGGACCTGGCGCCACGAGGAAGCGTTCCAGGGGGAATGGCCAGCTCGGGGGGGGACGGTCGGGTCGAGCGGAAGGGTGGACAGGGAAAGGGCGGGGCTTCGAAGCCCGTTGCATGCAGCCAGTTTCGTCCCCGCGGGCCTCATCTGTAGATGTAGGGCCCGCGCCTTCTAAGAAGCAGCCTCCTTCTAAGAAGCCTTCCCACTCCCCCTACCCCCTTGTGCGCGCGCGCCCTTGTGCGCGGGCCTCGATCCACGGATTCCCATTCCATGTTGGTGTGTGCCCGAGGCAGGCTCGGCCCCCGCGTCGGCGCCGAGGGCGACGCGGGACGCGCTGCGTCCGGGGGCCGGGGGGCCCCTGCGGGGGGCTCCGGTGGCACGAAGGAAGGGACAGCTGGAAGGAAGAGGCTCTGGTCGGAACGATCGAAATGGGTAACTGTGGAAAGAAGGGGTACAAAGATTGACAGGAGTTCTTGTTCATTTTGAACGAGACTCGTTGTCTGTGTCGCCACGGACGTTATCCATTTGAGACAGGTGACCGCCTGCCCAACAGCGGCCGCTGGTGGTTTTGGACAACACTTGTTGTTGGGCTTCGTACCCATTTTTTTGTACCCATTTCGGGCGTCCAAACCTGGCATCTGGAGAAGTGGGCGGATTCCCGTGCAGCGTGGATGGGAGGCTGGCATCACGGGCAGAAGGCGGCAGTGAGAGAGCTCCGCGAGAGCTGCAGGCAGAGAGCTGTGGGCCGAGGCGGCCCAGACCTGTGCATCGGAGTCCGAGTCAACAACTTTCGTCGCTGTGGAATCGCGAAGGTCGCTCAGGGTTGGACGGTCTGCGTGGGCAAAGTTTGCCCCCGCGCCCTTGCGCGGCGCGGGGGCGCCGAGAGTTGTCGGGTGGCCCAGTGGCGGATGCGCGGGGGATGTCGGAGGGGGGAGGTGCCGGCCCCCTCCCGCCAGGAGCAGAAGTGCGTGAAGCAGGTGCTCGCCGAGAAGATCTCCCAGAGCAAGGACGCCCCCCGTCGTCGCCGTCGCCGTCGCCGTCGTCGTCGTCGTCGTCGTCGTCGTCTTTGTCGTCGACGTCGTCGACGTCGTCGTCCTCGTCGTCCTCGTCCTCGTCGTCCTCGTCGTCGTCGTCGATCCTCGATGATCGGTGGCGCGCTCGCATGCGGGCTTCTGCCTGTGTTTTCGCACCTCTCATGAGGATCGTGCCTCAAGTGGAGGCCCACCTGCAATCTCAGCGGGCGCGCTTGCATGCGGGCTCCCGCGCATGTCGTGCCCTCCCCCCCCCACTGGGTTCCGCGGAGGGGTCCCAGGCGGCCTCTGTGCGGGCAAGAGTGGTATCCATATCCACTGCGTCGTGGACTTTCTGGGTAGGAGCGCCACAAGGCCGAGGCGCAGTGGATATGGATAAGCATCAGGCCTCTAGGGGCCCGGTGCTTTTTCATATTTGTTGTGTTTTTGGGTTTGGGGAAGGGAGCCGGAAACTCCAGGATGCAGTGCGCATGGACACGCACCTTGCCCGCACTGTGGGGTGTCGCACCCTTCCGCCGCGGCGCCTGCGCCCAGCGGAGAGGCGGCCGCCGCCCCCCGCTCCCCGCACCCTCGGCCGCCCCCTCGGCGCAGCGCGCGTGCGTGCACTGCGCGGAGGGGGTCGCCGCCTCCCTGCCCGCCCTGCGCCCGCGCCAGGGCTCTCGCGCCCCGGGCGCTCCGCGCGGCGCGCCTGGCCGATTGGCGTCTGCGGGGGCTCACGCTGGCGCACGTCGGCACGAACTGGAGCAGCTCCGGAGCGACGCTTCGGCAGCACACGCGCAGCTCACAGCACCGCCGGTCGAGAACTTCCACCTCTGCGCACGAGGGCTCCGACCCGCCCGCGACGTCCTGCCAGGCCCCGCCGCCCGCGGGACGGAGCCGCGCTCCGCTCCGCTGCGAGAGGTGCCGTCGCCCTCTGCGCCGTGGAGTGCCGCCGCGGCGTCGTCGCGGTGCGCGGCGCGGCGCGCCCCCCCCCCCTGTGGCGCGGCCCGTGCCCCACAGGGGGGGGGGGTGCGCCCGCGGCGCGCCCGCTGTGCGGCCTCCCCCGTGCGCCCCGCCACGCGGCGCGCGGTGCAGGGTGAGAGAGGGCCGCGCCCCGCTCTGCGCGCAGGTGCAGAGGGGGGTTGTCATTGAGAGTAGGAGAACCCCTAACCCTGATAACACGATGAAGACGTGGCCTCACCAAGGCCCCCGGCCTTGCATCAGGGATAATGACTCTGTGCGGTTTGGTCTGACACACATCTGCAGGAAAGACTCCCTATCCCTAATGCTTTAGCCCTCCTAACTTAGATCCCCTCCCAGAGGGTCGGGGGTTCTTACTTGATTAATCAGGTTGGGCCCATCGCAAGGCTCACGTCCGGCTTCCCAGTGCGTCGCTAGGCTCTGGGCCTCCCAGGATGAGCGACGCAGAGAACGGGATCGTCTTCACCGACGCTGGCGCGTGAGCGTCCCGCGTAAGGTCGCGCGTAAGCGCCCTCGTTTCCAATGTTGTGCGCCGTGCTGGCGGCCTGCGTAAGCCACCGGGTAAGGTCGCGATGCCATTTGGCTGAAGGTCAGTTTTTTTGTCGCTCAGATGGGGTCCGAGTAGATGGGGTCGGAGGATGGCGCCGCATCGCCGATGCATTGCCGATGCATCGCCGATGCGGCTCGATGTGGATCCCGATTTTCTCGCCGACGTTGCGGATACATCACCGATGCATCGCCGATACATCCGGCGATGCGGCGCGATCCTCTCACCCCGTCTACTCGTACCCCCATCCAGGGAGGCCTTTACTTTTGGGGGTCGGGTGGGGCCTCTTTGGGGGCGCACTTCATGGAGCCTTTGGGAGTCTTTGGGTCCTGCGGCATTCTGGTCGGGGTCTGTGGGCCGCATTGGAGATGTCTTGGGGCTGCCTTGCCCCGTCTTGAGTAGGGTCGAGTGCCTATCTGGGACCACGATGAGGGATGAGGGGGGAAACATCCTTTTTGATTGCACTACATTGCGCTGTGTGGCATTGCATATCTGCCTTTGCACGGTATTGTCTTGCAGTCCTTGCATTGCGCCACATTGCGTCTTGCTCCTCCTCCCTCCTCCTGGCCCTCCCTCCTCTTTCCCCTTTCTCCTGCTTCTGCTCTTCCTCCTCCCCCCCTTCCCCTATATTCCTCTTACGACTGCGGCTGCTCTCCTGCCTTCCCGTTCCTCCTCCTCGTTATTCCTCCTATCCTACTCCTCCTCCTTCTGCCCCTCATCTTCCTCGTCGTCATCCCCCTTTCGCTGGGGCCCCGCGAGCATTTGCGACCCGTCGAGGCGGGAGGGACGCGCTGGGGCGTGGGCCCGGTGAACATCTGTAACCAGTTGCGACGGGCGGAACGATCTGGAGCTGGGGCCCTGCGGGCATTTGCGCCCCGTTGTGACGGGCGGGTCGCGCTGGGGCTGGGAAGCCGCGGGCATTTCTGACCCGTTGTGACGGGAGGGGGATGCTGGGGCTGGGACCCCGGGTGCACGTGTGACCCGTGGTGACGGGCGGACCGCGCTTGGGCTGGGGACCCAGTGGCATTTGTGACCCGGTGTGACGAGCGGAACGCGCTGGGCGTGGGGCTCCGTGAGCATGTGTGCCCCGTTGTGAAGGGGGGGATCGCGCTTGGGTTGGGGCCCCGTGGGCATTTGTGACCCGTTGTGACGGGCGAAATGCGCTGCGGATGCGGCCCCGCTGGCATTGGTGACCCGCCTTGACGGGGGAACGATCTGGGGCTGGGGTCCCGTGGGCATGTGTGACCCGTTGCGACGGGAGTGATGCGCCAGGGCTAACTTCACGCGGGCATTGTGCCCCGCTGTGACGGGCGGATCGTGTTTGGGCTGGGGCCCCGCTGGCGGTTGTCCATTGTTGTAACGTTCGAAACGCACTGGGTATGGGGCCCCGTGGACATCCGTGATCCTCTGTGACGGGCGGTAGGTGCCGGGGTTGGTGCCGCATTGACATTTGCGACCCGCTGTGACGGGCGGAGCGCGCTGGGGCTCGAGCCCCGCGTGCACGTGTCACCTGTTGTGACTGGTTGTGGCCCGTTGTGACCGCCCTGCAAGCGCCCTGGTGGTGTTCTTTTGTAGCGGTTCGTGCAGATTTGTGACCGCGGGTCTCAGAGTCACACAGCGGTTCGAGGCGTCAGGGGCTTCCGCCCCGCACGCGGTCCATAGAATTTTAGCAACTTTTTTGGTCCACGTCCCCCCTCTCCCTCCCCCGAAGACCCCTATGTCCTCGACCTCGTTCTCCTCTTCCTCTTCCTCCTCGTCCATGTTTAATGGGCAGTAATAACTTGTTATTGCAAGTCACAAGTCGACGCTCCCAGGCGGGAGTGTCCCGCCGTCGGCGCACCGCGCGATGGCGGGCGCCCGCATGTCCACCCGCCACGCGCCGCCGCTACGTCGGGCGGGCCAGGCCCCGCGCGGGCATGCTGGCGTGCCGCGCGGCCGTGCGTCGGGGTCCTTCCTCCCTCCGCTCCTCCGTGCACGGTCGTGATGTCTCCTCTTTGCCGTCTGGCCGCGGGGCGGGATATCAAGCACCCGGTCATGTCTGCAGCGCCCCAGCTGCCTTGTGTGCACTCTTAAAGTGGGGCGGCTGGCCAGGGTGTGGTCCTCTGTCTGCCAGTGTGCGGCTCTGGACCAACCCTGGGGGCGACGCGCGAGGCGTCCGTTCGCCAGAGTGCGTCGGACGCGACCGCGGTCGCGCTTCTTTTCTGGCCCAGTGTGGCCCCTCGTGGGTGTCGTTGTCTAGGGCTTTTCCCTGCGGGTCCTGTGTCCCTTGGTTCACCTCGGGCCAACACCGCTGGTCCTTGGTGACCTACGCGTTGTTTCTCCACCCTGGCGGAGTCTGTTTCACGGCCCTGAGGGGTCACGGCATTGCTATCAAGCCCAGAGTGGCCTCTTACGTCGGCCCAGTGTGACCAACGTACCCATAGGGTTCCCCCTCGCGGGTCCAGAGCGACCCTCGTCTGGCGGCCCAGAGTGGCCATTCAGTAGCAGGGCAGCCGATGCCAGCCCGCATGTCTGGCGGCCCTAGAGCGGCCAATCTTCGATAGGGCGGCCGTTGCGGCTTGCTGACTGCCAGCAGACCCGCGCGTCTCGCTTGGAGGCCCATAGTGGCCAATCGTTGCAAACGTTTCTTTCGCATTCCCAGTGAACAGTCGAGCGCGAGACTCGCAGCGCGCCAGACTCGCAGCGCAAAGGCAGCGAACTCCCGCCGTCGGTCGACGGTTTTTGCTTTGGCTGCCGCAGGTTCGCAGCGGCTCCGAATGTCGGGTGAAGTCAGCGGCTTCTGCTTGCTTGCGATGGCGGAGCAGGCTGCGCAGGCGGCGCTCGTGCCGCCCGAGGCGAAAACAGAAAGGGGCTCCTTGGTGCGCATCGCATCCCGCGCGCGGGTCGCGTACGGTTGTCGCAGGCGCGCGAGCGGCTTCGCTACCTGCTGGTTAAGGGGGCGGGCCCCAGGCTCCAGGGGCGAGCGCCAAGGGGCCCGCCCCTAGCAATGCCAGCACCACCTGCCAACGAGGGCTGCTGGTCGCCAGTCCGACTCGGAGCAGTCGGCCCTCGGTTAGTAAGGCTGGGGCAGGTGTGGGCTGAACTGCGCTTCGCCCTGGCCCACTGCGCACCGCGTTTGCCGCGCGACGTCTGCCATATCATAATGGGTTACGCTAAGCCCCAGATCGTCTCTGCGCCCGTGCTACGCTACCGTCTAATGGACAATCCAGACAGCGGCGATGAAGCGCACTTCCGCCGGGCAAAGCTGCGAGTGCGCCCGCCAGCGCGGGTCGCGGGCGCCTAGGGCGGCGCGCGCGACCACAGCGCTTTTAACAAACGCGCGCGCTCGTGCCGCGCGTGTCGTCCCAGTGTGGATTTGCGCGCTCCCTCCCGCGACTGGAGGCCGCATAAGGGTCGCTGCGCGGGCTACTAAGTACGCCGTGTAGCGATGTCGTCTGACGACGAGGTGCCGTCGACGCAGCCCGCCTCA